AACCCGCTGCTAAGAAACCCTTGTTATAAGCTCTAGCATCATCCTCATGTTTCCATTCTATAGCCTGATAGTGGTCCAATTCTTTCCACACTGAGGTAAGAGATAAATAATAGGCTGATAGGCTGCGGTTTCCCTATTTACAGGTTAAGGATTCAGCTTGTAACTGGTAGATCTTAGCAAAGCGCCTTTGCTTTGAACAGGTGGTTTTGGCCTATTCCCATATCTCATTTGCAGTATCTGCCCACATAAAATTCTTTTTCACATCAGTCCCACTCTTGGGTTTCACCCTTCCATTTATGTAACCAGCTTTCCCCCTTGCTGTTACATAAAGTTTTACACCTTTGGCCCACTCTAGGTAGTTCAGATCATTCAAAGGAGTGTTCGGCATAGAGAACATCATGCTTTCAGCCCCCATACCTGCAGCACCACGGGTTGATGTAACCCCAGATGATGCAGAATCATCATTCGCCATTTTTAAAGGCAGGTCTACAAGCTAGAACAAAACATTGTAGGTGCACAAGACCAGTACTCACACCAGTACTACTTCTAATAGTCACAGTTAGGCATAAAACACCACACCCTACTTCCGAAAGCATATACACACTTCTGCAGCACATAAACAGTCTAGGAAGAGAAAAAAACTGCTATTCAAAGTATACTACTGTAAATTCCACACTTCACACACTGATTTTAGCACATACCTGGACACAGGGGATCACACACCCCTGTACAGCACCTGTATTAAGGTGCAAAAACATAACCAGACCTTTACAGCATCATCCGAAGGTCAAAAAAGGAAGTTTTTTGGGCTTTAAAGCATCAGTCGATGGAGCCAAGCCTTCACAGCACCAGCTGAAGGTCAAAAAAGAGGTTTATTTGGATATTCACAGCATCAGTCAAAGAGGACAAGGAAGCTTCACAGCATCGGCTTCCACCAGTTAGGGTTACCTTGGTGCTACGACCAAGGAAGAACCCAGAAGAAGTAACAAGAGATGTTTCCGATCAGTCCGATTTTATGTTTTTTGTCTTCACATTCCAAAACAAAAAACCGACACCTGAGTTGAGTGAATACTCCTCAGCATAAAGAAAAAAAAATATTGTCCAGAATTAATGTTGCTCCGATACCATGTGATCGTACAAGGAAGAAGAGAGAAGAGAGGAGAGAGGAGAAGAAGAAGAAGAAGATGAGAAAGATAAGAACTGGTGGTACCCAGCTTCTCCTTTATTTAAAATTGTATTATAATAATTACAAGAAATTGCTCATAGGCCCCTAGTGGCACACCCTAAACAAAAGAAAAGAACATGCTGCCAGCAATCTTAGCTGACAGCATGGTAACAACATAATTAAAACTAACAACAGTTAACTGCAAAACCCAGTTCACCTAACAGGTTTCTTATCCACATGATTTCAGCAACTCAATGAGACATAACTCTGCATTCTGCTTCAGCACTGGATCTAGCCACCACACTTTGCTTCTTCTCCAGATGACCAAGTTTCCTCCCACAAAGGTTCTCTTATATTATAGATAATATAATATAATATATATATACTAGTTGGTTCGATTAACCGCTTGATTTTTATAAGTTAACTGGAACTGAACCAGTCCTTTGATTTTTGAAAAAAATACCAAACTAATCAATTTAGTTAACTGGATTTTTTTCTTTTAGATGAGAACCCAGTAGTCGTACAAGACTAAAGATTTGAACAGAAAATAAAAGAAAAATAGAAGAGAGGAGGAGAAGAGAAGAAGAGAGATGGAGAGGAAGATTTCGTGGAGGGTTTTAGAAAAGAGAGTGGTTGGTTGTTAAACAGCCGCCCCACCCTTTGAATTTATATACATACTTTCATAATTGTAATAGGACTTTAATGTTTACATGGCAAGATAAGACAAGATAAGATAAGATTAAAACTAATCCTACTAGGAAAGCTAATCCTAATCAAAACTTAATTAAATCCATGCTGTCCCACGAGTATGCTAATGTGGGGTCCACAGTTTCCTACACACCCCAAGTAAAATGTATGGTATAGACTACTTGGAGACCTATGCTCTAGTAGCTAAAATGACCTCAGTTAAGGTTCTCTTGTCCTTCACTTCTTTGCAACAAGTTTTGACTGGACTCTTTATTAGTTTGATGTCAATAATGCCTTCTTGAATGGAGATCTATATGAAAAAGTTTACGCTCCTCCTACACTAGGGATATAGGGGCAAGAAATATAGAAAAAGGTTTACAAATTGAAGAAATCTCTTCAAACAGTCCCCTAGAACTTGGTTTGACAAGTTTCATGCTAATCTTGTCACTTTTGGTTACACACAAACTCAATTTGATGACACCCACTTTGTTAAGAGGAGAGCTTCTCTAGTGACCCTTTTAATCATTTATGTTGATGATTTTGTGGTTATTGGCAATGATTTACAGCAAGTTCAAAGCCTCATGAGGTTTAGTATTAATTTTGAGATTATGAACTTGGGAAAGTTATGGTACTTTCTAGGGATAGACGTTGCTCAGTCTAGGGAAGGTATATTTTTCAACGGAAATATGTCCTTGATCATTTAACTAAAACTAGCAAACTTGGAGTTAAGCCTACATCCATGCCTACTCATTTAAATCACACGCTCTTAACCAATGATGAAGAGTTATTAACTAAGAAGGGAGTGTCCCAGAGAATTCTTAAGAAATTATATCTTTGAAGACTCATCTTGATATCTCTTATGATATAAGTGTGATTAGCCAATTCATGCAGGCTCCTAAAGATACCCATATGGTGGCTATTGAAAAGGTTTTGTGCTACTTGAAAGGAACTCGAGGGAAGGGTATTCTTTTTCCCAAACATGGATATATGAAGTTGAAGGCATATATAGATGTAGGCTGGGCTGGTTGCATTGAGGACAGGAGATCCACTTCTAGTTATTGTGCTATGGTTGCGAGGAACATTATTTCTTGGAGAAGTAAGAAGCAGCCTGTGGTTGCTAGATCATCAATGGAGGAAGAATACAATGATATGCCCATTTGTGTATCTGAGTTGTTATGGGCTAGATCTCTCCTAGGGGAATTGGTTAGTATCTATGATAAGCCAATGATGTTGTACTTTGATAATTAAGTGGCCAATAACATTGCTCATAATCCGGTTTAGAATGATAGGACAAAGCGTATTAAAGTAAATAGACATTTCATACGGGAGAGAGTAACTTTAGGGGAAGTGTATTTGCCATTTATTGCGTCTAAGGAGTAAGGAACAATTAGTAGATGTAATAACAAAGGGGGTTCCAAAGGGTAAGCTACAGAATTATGTAAGCAAGATGGGCATGGTTGACAGCTATGCTCAACTTCAGGGGGACTATAGATAGACAGGACTGGATGGGCCTTAATCTTCTCACTTGTATCCATAGTTGTCAAGGCAATGCCCAGGCGACTAGGCGACTTTTAGAGGTCACCTCACCCAACACTAATATGGTTTCCATATTACCATATCATTTTCTTGAATGCTCATATATATTTATATCATTTTATTGGTTGGCTTTATTTTATTAACATACACCCTTTTGTATGTTACACTTTTTTTTATTAAGATGGTTATTTAGAATTATGCGTATGTTACAAGTTTTTTGGGTTCTAAACCAAGACTGAGAAGAGAAGACAAAGAAGACCGACGACTGAAAAGAGTTTTTCAGTCCAAGTTGTCCCGTGCTCCTGTATTTTTTTTCTTACATTTTTTAAGAAATATTGTTGGAAACAAAACAGGGGCTTTTCCGACACCCCCTCCTCCTTCGAATGGTCCTATTACTCTTATTTTCTTAGTTTTATTTAAATACTTTTGGGAACAAGACTGTGGCTCTTCTTTGTCCCCTTATTTTGGAAAGAAACAGGGGCTCCGTCTCCTTATTTTTCTCCTTTTTTGCTGCATTCAACCTTGTAATTGGCCTGAAATAGGGTCTCTACCCCTTAAACACAGTCCAAGTTGTCCCCTTATTCATGGATTTTTATTTTGTTATTTTTTAAGAAATTTTTTTTGGGAACGAAATAGTGCCCCCTTATTTTTCTCTTATCCTTGCTGCATTTCCATTTGTTAGCCTGATACAGGTTATTAAACATTGGTTTAATATATTTAAATGATGTATTTATGAAGGCATTTCTATGTTTTTATATGAAATTTATAGTCAGTTACTCATTTGAATGGTTTTATTGCTAATAGGTAGCATACAGGTACGTTGGTTAGTATAAAAAACCAATAAAGTAGCTTAGGAGAAGTAGGGTTCCTTAGATTTTATGCTTTCAGATTCCATTGCCTAGGTGCCTGGGTAACCTATGGTCGCCTAGGCACCTTGACAACTATGCTTGTATCGTTTATATTATAGTTGCCATTATGTCTTTATATTAATGAGCTTTGGTTATATGGGCCTGTTAAACTTCTTATTTTATATCTATGAGCTGACCACTACATTAAGGGGATCTTTGAAGTTGGCCCATTCTTTGATCAAAACTAATAAAACTAATTAAGGGAATGGAATAGATATCATCGAACTCTCTTCTCCTTCTCCCTTTCTTCTCCACCTTTTTATTCCTCTTGTTCAGCACTTCTCTTATTTCTCTCACTTTTCTAGATCAAATCTTCATTTTCCATTGTTTTGTTTTCTTCTAATTTCATATTCCCATTAGCTTCAATGCATTAAAAAAGTGAAAAAGAAACAGAGAAGAACCATGTGTCAAAAACTAAAGAAGATCATTAAAATGCCACCATAAACTATAAGTTGATGATTGATAGTTTTGTCACACACATCCAACAATCAAACATGTAATACAACAATCTTACTCTTTTGAATGAAAGAAAAAGAAAAAAGGAAAAGAAAACCACCAATTTTTGTATTGTGTATCTATGAACCAGTTGCAAATTTTTGTATGACTTATATATGTATCAGCATATATAAACAGAAGGGTTATGATTATGAATACACAATTCACAATGAGTAAAGCAATCAAGAAAGTATCAGTATTAAGTATACCTCTGAACCAGTCCCACTAAATCTTTTACTGTAGCATCTCTTATAGATAGACCTAGCATCTTTTATATGACCTGCTTCAATTTCCATTCTGATATAGCTTTGCCAGGCTTCCAACATTGAACCACTGTGAACCATAAAAAATTCTCAAGTACAGAGAAAATAAAGTAAAATGCCGCAAACTTAAAAAGAGCAGGCAAGGTATGAACCAAACCTGGTCTTCAGAAGGCTCTCCCAAACTCCACGAGCTGCAACCAGATCCTTAGCAAGATTTAACTCTAAATGAGCCCAATAAGCATGCAGATGCAATAAATCATCAGTACTCTTTAGGTGTGGAGAGATGTATTCTTTGGCACGCTGTGGAATATGATATATACAATACATTATACAATTCAAGAACATCAGCCAAATTAAACTGAATTGATGTTAAAAATATCAGAACAAAAACAATATATAGCAATGAAAGCTTCATTGAATGTTTCCCAATCAGATATCATTACTTGGAAATTTGAGCACTGTAACCTTGCAAATCCTGTGCAACATTATTGATTCACTTTTGTATACCCTTCAATTTTTCTCCTATATACCCCAGAAAGTAACGAAGGGACCTATCCTCCATAAGATCCTCTCTTCTGCTTCGAAAGAGCTATCCTCTGGCCTTGTCTTGCGTACGTTTTGTTGTACTCAACTGTTGAGGAAACCTCTCCCTCAGCAGCCTTTATCTATATCATTATTTCTTTAATAGAAATCTCACATTTTCTCAATAAGACTACAAAAGCTTATGCACCCAGCTATATAATTGGTTGGCACCCTCTACTGCCCCTTGTTGTCTAAGCTTCTTTTCTTGTAAAGTAAAAAATTTATTAAAAATTTAATAGAAAAAGAAAATGTACAGAGGAGAAGACACAAGACTCTTTCCAACAGCCTCTAACCACACAAAAGGATCTACCCTAGGAGGGAGAGGAACTGAATTGCCTCAAATATCAAGTATATCAAATTTGTTTTATCTAGTGTTGCATTAATTCGCTTAATGGATGAAGTGTCCATGTTGGATTCAATAAACTTTGTGTTCTTGAAACACTTTTTACATGATGTTTACCCCTTTCTCCTTGCTTATTTGACAAAAGTGAACAGTTTATGTACATGATGTTAGCTATCTTACCGATAGAAGGTTGCTAACAAGGTTAAAATTTTAGAACTTTTAATAGATATATGATATTAGAATTCATTAATATATGGATTATTTCCTATGATACCTGCATACTTGTTTTTTTTTTGGAAGACGAAGAAAAAATTATTAAAAAGAAAAAAGGTTACATATTAAGAGGTGACAAGAGGACACCTCACCAAAACAAAACATCAAATGACCAAAAATACAAACTGATCACTGTTACAATTCATAATATCACAAACACTCCGAAAGTTCTCCCTCAAATCTGAACTGCTCAACTTGTTCAAAATCAGGGATCATCAGAATCCAACCGAGTCAAGCTGAGCAACTAAGCCGTCAGCAATTCAATAATTTTGGGCTTATCTTCTAGTTATCTCCTGATCCTCTCATTCCATATAAACCAAAACACACAAGGGGGAAACAAGACCAAGTGTTTGTTAAAACCCCAACCCTGATCTCCTTTCACTTCCTGCAAACACACTGAAACTGAAAACCTGCCAGCCTTTCACCCATCTTCCTATAGACCCCTACCACTTCTTTTTTCTCCCTCAACCACCCTCATCCTTAACCACCTACCTGACCCTCGATGCAATTGAGCTCTGCCTCCTTACATATAGCATAACACTTCTTTTAGATATACTTTATAGCATAACACTTTTAAAATATGAAACAAGAAAATAAACATATTACATGGGATACCCATACCTATACCATGAATCGAATTTTTGGAAATGGAAATACACCAGTAGCCTAATACTATATACTAACCTTGGCAGTTGGCACCCATCTAAAGATGACTTCCACCTCAACTGATAATTTTTATATTTCAATATTTCTCGGATAGCAAATCTTTGATCTTGGCTGTTGCCTATTCATCCCAATACTATCTTTGAATCCCCTTCCACTACCACATTCTTATATCCCAAAGCTTTTTACCTATTATGGTTGAATCCTTTCTTATTGCACAGTTTTTTCGTTTGACTATTGGTTGAGACTGATAGTCCAATACAAGAAGGAACAGGTGCAGAAAAGAAGAAGGGCTTCAAAGAGTTTTTCCTTTTCTGCAACTGCCCCTTTTCTTATTGCACAGTTACCATATAATGAATAGAATGGGGCACACACACCTCATGGCAGCTACACTTCTATTAAAAATCTCTTCCAATTCTATACTTGTAAAACAGAACCCTATTAATTTTGTTAGACAGTGTATGCCCTTAGCTCCAATCAAATTGATGTACAGATACATTTATTGTAAATGAATAAAAGTACATTATTGTTTCATGTTGATATTGGCATGTTTCTATGAAATTACCCCTTAAACTGGACACTTATGAGACTCGTGTTAGTTTAGAATGTTCTCAGCCGTTAGATAGACTTGGAGAGTTTATCCTGCCAAGGTTGACACTGAGGTGCTGCCAAAGAAATTGGGGCAACTTGTCTCAACTGCTAGGGTTAGACCCAAAGCACACGTAGTGTGTGTTTCGTTGAAACATTGAACCCAAACCATTTTCCGATTATGCCCTGGACCTTGGAAATTGATGGGCAAAACTAGAAAGTTAAACATAACTCTAGAGTTGATTATGGTATTGCATTAGGTGCCGGATTGGGCTGTCTTTGATATGCCAATCAGTGAGATCCATTGAGGATCAAAACCTGAGTATGTTGGGGCAATCTGAGAATTCATCTGATTGGGTGATCATAGTGATAGGATTGGCCCCTTTGTCGGACAAAGTGAATGATAGGGTTTACACTCTCTCTGATGGAAACCTAAACTGCCGGTAGTGGATTTCAACTGTCAATAGTGAGTGTGACACTGCACCTTGCAACCAAGGGAGAGGTCATTCCCTGTCAGGCAGTGTCTGATCATTATGGGTCGAGAGATTAAGTCTAAGAGACCATTATAGGGCTGATTACCTAATAGGATTTATCTCACATAAGTCCATTATCCCTGGGTCTTCATAGAATGGTTGAATTCAAAGATCATTTAAGTGTAAATGTTGGGCCCGTTTTGAACCCATAGTGATGTGATCGGGGTTCACTGTATTTAGTAGTGAATTCAGTCAAGCCCTTTCACAGAGGCTAGGTCGAACCCATGTGGACTTATGTGAGGTCATTGTGGTATCCCACGCCATACAAATCAGGCCTAAGATGGCCATGCAACACTCTTGGGTCATGAGCCTTATAGCTAATGGGCCTAAGGCCCATAATTAATATGATCAATTAAGTTATCACATGACAGCTTAAGTTGTCATGTGACATGGGGCAAATCTGGATATGGAAATGGGTATGGAGCACCCATCCTCTTAAGAGGATAAGGCTTATCTCTTAATAGAGTCTAGATCCAAATTAGATTTGGATAATCTCCTAATTTGATTAGGAGAAGTGCTCCATAAAGAGATAAAAGAAGAAGAGGGGAACTAAACAAGAACACCTCTCAATTCTACTCTCTCTCTCTCTCTCTTCTTTTGTCTTCCAAGAAACCCTAGTTAGACTATAGCTTATTTGGGACTGATAGAGATCAGTTTTCCTCTAACTTTTGCAAGAGAAATCCAGAGGAATTTCTTGCTCACTTCCCCAGTTCGATCCAAGCAGTTGGATTGTAGTTTTGCTGAAAACTGCATTGTTGAACCAGCTTCAAGAGTACATTGTGCCATCTTCAGTGGAAGCTGGTTTTAGGACTGATTTGGGCGTGAACTTCCACCTTGGGACCTGTGTTTGTGGCATCCGTATCAGGTATACATCCCCCTCTTTGTTTGGTTTCAAATCTGGTCCAGTTCAATGCAAGACAGATCGTAAAAAATGCAATTTTTCGAAACATAGGGAATTTGGTTCCTGGAAGCATTAGGAATTTTTTGAAATTTCGCCCAGCCATCTAGCATGGTTAGGCCATCCATATGATGGATCTTAACCCTTCAAATTTCATATCATATTTGATCCATCTATACTTTCTTAAATCACACAAGGTAAGTAGTGCAATCATAAATTGTAGTTAAAAACCCTTGCACCAGTCACCAAAATGAACACTATTAAAGTATTTCTATCACTTATTGCAAATTTCTCATGGTCGTTCCCAAGGTTTGAAATGTCGATGTCAGTGGAAATGTCGGTCATCCAAATAAAAGAAACATGTCGGAAACGTCGGAAATATTGTAAAAATTATAGATATGGTGGAAACATTGTAAAATGTGCAAAATATATAATGTTATTTTATGAAATGATAAAAAAAGCATAGGCGCACCTTTTTAAATTATTATCTTATACTAAATCATTAAACAAAGCTAAGAAAGTAAGGTTATAGATAAAAGAATATATTCTAAAGTTGCCCTATAAACTTTAAGATTCGGAGCTTCATGATAGAATAGGTTAAAGCAAAATTTGAACTCATAGAAAATGTAAATGGTTGCAATAGATCAATCAAAGTGGTAATCATATAAGTTAGGTGGACAATAACTTGCTACTTCACATACCTACAATGTTGTTACCAAATTATATTATAATACTATCTCTTGTACTCCACATAGTATTGGTAGTGTTCAATGGGGAATATGTCAATTGAAGTAAAATTTCATGTTGTTACCCATGGAAGTGGAAATGGAAGTATTTTGTGGAAACTATCTCTTGCACTCCACATAGTGTTGGTAGTGTTCATTGGGGAAATGTCGGTTCCAGTAAAGTTTCATGTCACTACCTATGGAAATGAAAATGGAAATATGTCGTGGAAATATTAGGGAAATTAGGGACATTTTAAACCATTCAAAATTGATGTTAAAAACGCTTTTCTAAATGATGATCTACAGGAGGAAGTGTATATGCAGTTTCCTCCCACTTTTTATAACATAGATGCTGATAAGAAAGTCTGTCGGGTGAAGAAAGCTTTGTATGCTTTGAAGCAATCTCCAAGAGTATGGTTTGATAGATCTAGACTTGCCTTAGAGAAATTTGGATACGTACAAGCCCAATCTGATCACACTCACTATATCAAGAAACAGGTTCTGCCTTGACTCTCCTGGCTATGTATGTTGATGATATTGTGGTGATAGACCCTTGATGTTGTTGCCCGCTCCATTGCTAAAGCATAGTATAGGTCTATGGCTAATGGGGTGACTCAAGTGTTATAGCTGAGATCCCTACTTAAAAGAAATGGGGATTGAATATGGAAGACCCTTAATGTTGTATTGTGATAACCAAACGCCATTAACATTGCTCATAACCCAAGACAGCCTGATAGAACAAAACTTATTGAAGTGGACTGACACTTTATCAAAGAGAGTTGCTTCCCAAGAAGTATGTCTTCCTTATATAGTCTATGATATGCAACTTGTTCATCTCTTGACCAGGGTTGGCAGGCATTGGAGGAGTATTTACCAATCTGTCATTGTTTAAGGCGCTGTTCGGCACGTCTTTCTGTGCAGGCTGTCAGCTGTTTAAAAGCCCAGCAGCACGCATTTTGGTCTTTTCCCATTTGGTTGGGAACAGATCTAACCGCCAAAAGATGTAGCCCCAAAAAGACGTGTGAAGCCCATTTTGGGCTATTTTCTAGAAGCCCCAAATGGAGCTTTTCGATTTTTTCATCACGTCTTCGCACAGAAAGATGCATAGGAAGACACACCTTAACAAAGCGGTCTTCAGGCTGTTAAGATCTTAATGCAAAAGCTCACATCATCTTTTGGCTATCAGGTCAGCCGGAAGATCTTTCAAAAAAGACTTGCAAACGGCACCTAAGTACTTAACAATTTGTACTCCTTGCAAGACTGTTTTGAATTCAGCATACACCGAATCCCCTTCTCCAACAGGGCCAAAAACTACAGCAAGAATGTGTCCTTCAGAATATCTAAATACTCCTCCAATGCCAGCCAACCCTGGGTTTCCAAGACAACTTCCATCAAAATATAATTTAAGAAAACCTTCTCCTAGAGTCCAAGCTACAATCGGTTTATCCTTCCCTTCTGTACAATTTAAAATTATGCTGTTCCTTTCCTCCCAAACTGTCCAAATCAATGCAGCCCAAGAACATCTCCACATAACTTTACCTCTTCTCTTCGGCCAGCTCAGGGTCGTAGAACCATTAGAATCTCCACCCCTTTTTTCTTCGTTCTGTCTTTTCTCTTCTTCTTCTCCCTTGATCCCCCTCTTTCTTTTCTCTTTTTTCTTCTGTCTTCTTATAAAAGCACAGGTCTGATTACCATTGGTTACAGTCAACTTTTCAGCCAAAAATGATTCTTTTTTTATGTTAAAATTTTAGCTCCAAAGAATCAATTCTTAGAATGAATTTTGAGACCAAAAGATGCTTTAATTCCAGCAATTTCCATACATCAAAATTTAATGTTGATTCTTAGAATCACAAAATTCATCAGAACTGAGTCTCTAGAAGCATGCCAAACACAGCTAATTGCCAGTGCATGTTGTAGGTTTGAGATCTAGGAGTGGAGAGGTAAGGGTGACTTTGTAATTGACTTGGAAAACAAGTCAGGCCTACAATCACCAATTATATGAAGTGGAGTTGTTTGGAGGAGTCCCCAGACTGATTGGAAAGAAATATTGAAATTTCACCAGGAGTTTGCTGGTTTTACCATGGTTGTGATCAGGTAGAAGGCACAAAATTTCTCTTTTGCAACAATGAATGGTGTAAACCTGGAATGTGACCCATGTTCTAGGTAATACATGACTACATGTTGTATACTAAGGAAATTATCATTTGTCCTGAACTTCAGGGAGACCAACTCATATGGTCTCCAACTTTTATATGGAAAATTTGATGAATTCAAAAATTTTTTCAGCAGATAATAATCTTTCAGACAAGTTTTACTCAGTGAAATGCATTCATCAAGCATTTGTTAAAAAACAGATAAAGTGCCCTAAAAGGTGGAATTGTTCATTTGGTAACTCTCCCTTGATTCCATCTTGCTAATGACAATTTGCATAAGAACAAATTCCATATGGGTGTTTCTGTGATGCATGCCAATCACAATGAAAATAGTCACCATAAATAAATCAGGAGAGAAGAAAAGAAAAGGAGAAACACTCTAACCACCCCACCCCCCACAAAAAGGCTTTAATACACATAATAACCCAAAAATGATCAAACCTCCATTGAAACAATTTGGGCATACCAAGTACAGTATTTAACAAAATTCTATAGGAAATATACTGCATATTTTCCAAGGAAAAAAAAAACAATACAATTCCAAGGAAACAGGTTGAGCTTTAGATTAACAAGAACAATGAAAAACAATCATAAGTGAAAGATCCAAACAATTTGTGTTGGCATTACAGTTAGGAACCTGAAATGTGTCCCTGAACACTGTGCAATCAAGGCCATCTTCCGCATTAGTGGGAGAAATTCTTCGCCGTAAACCATCCACTCGAGTGAGGAATAAATCCAGATACTGTAATAGCAGGGTCCACTGGCATGTTAGTATTGTTTGATTAATCAAAATCCAGTAAAGAACTCAAATTAGACACTTAAAAAGTGCAGAACCAACAAAATTGCAACAATCTAACTTTTTAAATAGCATGGTAAGAGACCTAAGTGTCTAAAGGCAGAAATTGTCTATTTCCTTGTTCTGCAGTCAAAACAAAAGGTGGTTCATAGGGTACAGCAGCAACGACATTTAATGCACACAGTATGGGCATGCAGTCCTTTGAAGATTTAACTACAACTTTGGCATAAGGAACAGATTCTATGCTTTACTTCAAGGAATTTCATAAAACACAGATTACAATTTTCCCATATAACCTTGTACAACTTCATCAAGTCATCAGCTCCATGTTTCAGAATCAAGACCCACTTACATCCAAAAGGTTCTCTTCCCTAAGGAAGCTGAACAAGTTTCCAGGTGTTATTATAATATAGGGCCACCATCTCAAGGTTCCTTGCTGCCTTCAACTAAGAATGAGAAAGTCTCTAAAACATTTTTAGGAACAGCAACAAAAGAAATAATAGAAAGATACACAGAATAGAAAGATGAGCACTAGAACCCTGGGCATACTAACAGTCACCCTCACAATATCAATGCAGTGAAACAATCACTAGTCATTTTGACCTCTTTGTCTGATGTGATGACAAGTCAATGCCGAGGCATTGCCTAGTTGACAAAACAAAGACATATTCAAAACTTAAGATATTAATGAAATCTCAGTGACATGGACTACAATAGTGGAAGAAAGGAATGATATTGAACCTTAAGTTTATAGTCTTTGTTTTGCAAGCAAAGCAAAATCTAGGATAGGGAATCACAGTCTTCGTCTCCCAAATAAAGAATACAACATCGACTATTTGATTTGACATTTGTGGCAACTATATACCAACATATCGCTAATTACAAGAAAACTTAAAAGAGTGCCTTCCATGTTTGCATTGCAGGCCTCGTCAAGTCTCTTACTCTGGAAAATCTTATCAAAAGAGGTATGAATATTCCTTCTTCCACCTGTGTTTTCTGTAACCTAGAGCTGGAAACAATGAATCACCTATTCCTCCACTGCCAAATAATCTACCAGATCTGGGCCCACTATGTTAGACACTTATATAAGTTGGGTCTTTCCAAGGTCAGTTCTGGAAGCCCTTCAAAGTTGGCTGGTGCAAAATCTGCCTCCCCAATCTAATGCATCCTGACATCTAATCCCTGCAGCCACCCTCTGGTGTATTTGGATGGAGAGAAACAGCAGGATCATTAGAATCAAAGCTTCTCAACTAGATGAAACTTACCAAAACATCTCTGCAAAAGTCATTTCTTGGACAATTTCTGCTTTTTCTTCTTCTTATGCTGTATAACTTTTTGTATTTAGTATATCTTTACTGTTTGAAAATGCCTATACTTGTATAGCAGCTCACCGTATAGGGAATGTTCCCTCTTTTTGACCAATTAATATAACGTTATCTTGCTTTTTTTCACAAAATAAAGGAAAGAAAACTACTCTTCTGCCTTTTATTTTAAGCCTTTTCTATTTTATATACAACCGTCCAACATTGCTCCATCTTCCATCACAAAGGTTTAAAGTAACATCATAAATTAACAAAATGAAAAAATGTTATATATTATTTCTAATAATTAGAGAAGATATACAAATAAATACGGCTTAAAATGATTTTGTTGTGGACTGGGTTGACTAGTCAACCTAGCTGATGCTTAGTTGTCCTAGGCAACCGCATCATGAGAATCGGCCAGCTAGTTAGTGATTAAGTCACTTTGGCCCTCAATGGACTGGCTGGTCAACTAGTTGATGCTTTGATAACACTTTGCAGATAACAATACGCAAATATCATCAAGAATGAATGTTACATAATAAACTTAATTGCTTTGTAAGGCAACTTACCAACAAAAGATTGGTAGTCAAACAAGGTAGAGTACAGAATCGAGAGAATATGATCACCAAGTGTTGCAGAGGCAGAAGCAAGGAAAATAATTTATGGGGAAACAAACCAATATTCCAATTCCTATATCAATTTCAGTATAGGATATTGGTCTTGTTTCAGTTTTTTTATTTGCTTATTTTTTAGTTGTTGGTGCCTTGAGAACATGATTCTGTTTTTTAGATTTTTATCTTGAAATTACCAATTTATGGTAACTCTTGGTCTTACTATTTGTAGTAAATCTCGTAATTACTAATTTTAGTAAATTCACATATTACTATTTTTAGTGATTTCTGGTGTCTTCAAACTAAGTTAGCCTTAGTAGGATTAGGAAAGTGTTATTAGAGATGTGTTGAGCCTGAGTGCCAGACTGAATCACTCATTCAGGTGGGTTCTAATATCCACCAATTCAATTGTAGGAAAAACTGAACCATAATGGCATCCTAAAATGCCAAGCTCATTCTTTCAATATTCTTGACGCCTTTTGGAGCAGACCCCCCTTTTGGGCTAGGGCTGCCCTTGGCACTATGTCCCAGAGGTTTGTACTCATTTCTTATAGCCATGTTATTATCCACTTCTGTTCAATGTAAATAAAAATAAAAAAGAGAGAAGAGAAGCCCTAGAAAACACAAATCTTGATATCAGAAAATAGACTTGCAGCAGCATGAATTAACAACTCCCCTGCACTTAAAAAGACCAAGTCCTACAATCAATATATGTATCACAATTCACAAGTATGTGCACATGTTGCACAGAACAATCACGGTACAGCACCCATCCACATACCCCCATCCCAGGAAACACATACTCTAGAAACATCACATTCAACTATCAGAACCCCTAATTACACTCTTATATTGATTCACTTAAGGCCCTCTCTGTTTATGAATAAACCATCCTAAAGTCCCTCTAGCAACTCAATGATACACCATCTGTAATGAATTGATCATCAGCATATGAAAAGTTCCTTCACTCTAACCAACTCAATCTCAAGATCCTTCTAACTGAGATACTCTGCCCAATTTCTCCTCAAATCTCTTTCTTTTAGTCCATATATTAAAGTACAGATGTTGTAATCTAAATAACCAAAGCCTCACTATCCCTGAGTGTTCTATCAATTAACTCCAATGGAACAACTATTAATTAAACACAACATTTATTTTGTATGACAACTCTAGTAAATGGACCCCCAAAGATGATAAAATTGCATAATAACCAAGGAAATCTGACTTATAAAAACAAGGTCCATAAGTATTTTTCTTACCTCGTCAGAATAAAACATTACCATACATGCAGTGAAACAAGTTTGAAAATCTGACTTAAAAAAACAAGGTCCATAAGTATTTTTCTTACCTCGTCAATGCTTGAGAAAGAACATTGTAGTGATTGCTCAAAAACCTGAATAGAATAGGATATAAGCTTCAGAAGGCCTAACTCCAGGTTTTATCAGACAAATGTTCAACAACAGATAAAAATCTGATTAAAACAAGAATTCATGTGAGACAATTAGAAATTAAGTCTAATTTCAAGAATAAAATACATAGAATGTAAAAACAAAGCATCAGCAAGGACTAAATTCTGCCAAGGCTTCCAAATTAGTCCAGCTGAGTTGGTTATTCGACCTTGGATCAAACTCCAGATAAAGCTAAAGTGGTCATTCCAGACTCAGATTGGCAAGGTTAAGTGTTGGAAGTTTTATATATTATTCTTTATATGCAGCGGTGGCAGGGTATCACTGTCCTTTTCTTTTTATTATTTAAACAGGGTCTCGTTTGCGATTGTATTTCACATTATATAATTAATAAAAGATGGATGACAGTTGGAGAATCTAAGCCAGTTCAATCTCCTCTGCCCTTAGCCCTAATCATAGTTGTCAAGGCGACACCTAGGCGACAAGGCGCCCTTGGAGGCTCGCCTCGCCCAGTCACCTAGAAGTTTTGTGCACTGGGTTATAAAATACTTTTAGATTTTTAATTTTTTGACACTATAATTATAAAATAGACATTATTAAACTAGAATATTCATTTTATGTGTTTATATACTAATTTCCTTTTATTATTTTCTTATTTTGTTAGGGTTTAATCAATGCAAACATTGCTAACTGCTGTATTGAACCCATGGTTTTTGATCCTTGATTGAAGCCTCCAAAATTTCAAAACCTGAACCTATAAGCAAGGGAAGAACTTAAAATTTTGTCTAATCAACACATTTTCTTCTTCCACCTTTTCTTTTCTTCTTTCCTATAACAAAAGTTGGGGTTCAGCCCCTATATTTTTTGAACTTTCTTTACTTTGTTCTTTTTCTTCTCATAAAATGTTAATTTTCTAGACTTAAACATGAAATTTAAACTTTTCTTATGAAAATTATGAACAATTATTAAGGAAAGATGGTTATGGAACCTAGGGAACTGTAAAGAGACTGGGCCGAATGGGCCCTAACAGCCTCTTATGTGATATCCTTTATTTTATCTTTTATTTTATGTTGATGGGCCTCACTTAATGGGCCTGTTATTTGTTCTTATTTTATTTTCTTTATGCAACTGCCAAGCTGGCCGCCTACTTAAGGGTATACTTGTCATCATCAATTTGTTTTAGAGATTAATAAAATATAGGGTTAGAGGAGAAGGAAGACTAATTCGACTTCTTCTTCTCTTACCTCTTCTCTTCGACATACACAGCTCTTGCACTATCATTCAGATCTGATTTGTACTGTTAATCACTGATTTTAAACCTGATATTAGAGGACTGATTCACATCTGGAACTACCCTAGGATCTAGGGTTTTACTTAAAAAAATCCATCGCCTAGGCGACTAGGCGACAAGGCACCCCCCTGTCGCCTAGCCTCACCTTGGCACCTTGAAACTATGGCCCTAATTCTCTTCACTTTCTCTTCTTTCTACCCAGAAATATCTGAGACCTTTTCCTTTAATTTTCTTCAGTTCAGTGATTTATTCTAACCAGATTACGTGGTACCAGAGAACCATTAATCGCTTGGGTAGATCTCAGCCTTTCTCTTCAGCCTCGTGCAAGAGAAATCTTTCTCCTAAAACACAGGTTAAGAGCTTTGATCTGATAGTAACAAGGACGAGGCTTTCATGCCTGAGTTTGAATTATTTTGCATTGATGGATTTCCTTTTTAAGAAGCCCTCTAAATGGCAGTTCAAAGAGGGAAGAATTTATGCAAATTTCAGACTTGTAACTTGCAATACTCTGTTATGTTGGGAGTGGATAATAAATTGATGTGAGCCAGAATATTTTGGTTGAGTCTGAGCTCAGCAACTATTCCTAATTTATTCAGGTTAGTTTTTAATTGAAGTAGGCTGCTGTAGTTTGGTATTTATGGTACTATGAGGGGTTGATTGTGTAGGCAAAGTTCAAAATTTTGTCATTATTGGGCCATATTGGCCAATACATATCTTGCCAATGGGTCACCGATACATCAAATATGAAGCTTTTGAAGCTTTAACTTATTTCAGGGGGTAGGCAGGCCTACCTACCCCTCTGCCCTATTTTTGAAAAAAAAAAAAAAAAAACCAAAACAAAAATTAGGATGTGTGCAGTACAAAGTACTAATAAACCCCTTTTGACGTATGAAGGTTTATCAATACTTTGAAACTTGTGTGTAGGTAAAAGCCCATAGGAGGGTTTGGATGAGACAGTTGTGTTCACTCTTATTCAGCATTGAGTTACGAGTTATGGCATCACCCATGGGTGAGAATAAATCTGGTGTGGTGATGCAACAAGATTACATGATGATACAGATGACATTTATGTACCATGGCCAAAATCACTGGACGTTTTTCTCACTGAATGAAGTTGAAATATGGCAAAGATCCAAAACCAGAAAGTGGGGCTGATTGTTACAACAATTGGGTGCAGGAGGATAAACAAATATTTTGCTTGTCTTGGAACAGTAATGGAACCCTCCATTTATGAAAGTCTTGTGTTCCTAGACAATGCAAAAGACATCTGTGATCAAGTGAAGCAGTTGTACTAAATTCAAGCAGTGTTACAAGGAGCTGAATTTAACAGCTGTTAATCGAAGGTGATTCCAAGCTGGTGATTCAGTGGTTAAAAGAACCAGAAACAGCAGCCTGGTCCTATAAAGGAGCTTTACAAAGATTCAAATGTCTAACTATAAACATGCCAGTCCAATTCCAATGGGAAAAGGGGGCTGTGGTGGTGGTTAAAGATGGCAGTAGTGCCAGAGGTGGGGGTAGAGGTGATGGTGGACATTGTATTGTATGTGAGTATAGTCAATGTGGATGTGAAGGATTGATCAAAAAAAATGTGGATGTGAAAGGCATACAGTTCATTTTTTTTCTATAATTTGCATGGTCCTCCATCTACAAGGGCCAGTGATGCTTCAATTGGAGAGGATCATGAAGCTACAGAGGATGACCTTCCTGATTCTAGTGCTAGAAAGGAGTTGGAATCCATTATCCATCACACGTGATGAATATGAGAAACTTAGCCTATCTTCTAATAACACTGCTAGTCTAGCTAAGTGAAGTATTGTTTGTCTTGCATCTTCTTCTAAGTCCTGGGGTACAGATTCCGATGCCTCAGACCATGGACCATGGACCACGTGATGAGGTCTCCAGATTAGTTTGTCTCTATATCCCCCCATTCACTTCTCAACCTGTTACTCTTGTCAATTGTACTACTTCCGTTTCAAGTACCAATAATGTAGCACTTAATTTTGATTTAACTTTACTTACTGTATTATACATGCCTAAGTTTCCTTTTAGTCTCATGTTCATAAGTTAACAAAGACTCTTAATTGCTCTATCACATTTTATCCCACTTATTTTGTCTTTTAGGATCTCAAGGCAGGGAGGACAATTGGTGGCAGGTGTGAGGTTGGAGGGTTGTACCATCTAGATGGCAGTGGTTCATAGAAGGCATGGCATGCAACACTTACTCCTCTTCAATGGCATTGTTGATTGGACTATCCATCTTCCTGTCTTAAAGGAGTTAGTTCCTACATTAGAGCCTACAATAAAGTTGCAATGTGGGTCTTGTCAACTTAGAAAATATTACACCTTTTGTTCCAAGAAGTTAGAATAGAGTCTTGAGTCCTTTTGAACTTGTTTACTCTCTGATGTTTGGGGTCCTAGTCATATCAAACCGCATAATGGAATCAAATATCATTAATGATTATTCAAGAATGACTTGGATTTACTTAATGAAGAGTGTTTTGACTTGTTTACTCTCTTTTCACTCTATGCTGAAATTCAAAATCAGTTTGGTGTTTCTATTAAAGTGTTTCGTTCAATAACACCTAGGAACAGTTTTCTAGACCCTTTCAGTCCTATTTTAATCCTCATGGCATCATTCATCAGTCTTCTTATTCACAAAACACCACAACAAAATGTGTGCTTAAACGGAAGATCACCATTTACTTGATACGGCTCGTGCTCTTTTAATCCAGAATTCCAGATGCTAATTCCTGAAGTCTATCAGAGTGATGTTGTCCTAACCTCTTGTTTTCTCATAAAACACTTGCCTTCTTCAGTTCTTGTTGGCAAGACTTCATTCTCTCTTTTGTTTCCCTCTATACTTCCCTTTTCTCTTTATGGATTTTTGGTTGTCTATTTTGTTTATTGTCTTGGCCTTGGGTTGAATAAATTAGATAACCATTCACTCAAGTGTGTTTTTGGGTACTCTTGGTTTCAAAAGGGTTATAAATGCCATAACCCTACAATGCACATTAGTCATTTATTCTTCATAACGTCTCTTTCTTTCAAAATGTATCCTTTTTTCTCAGCAATAGAATCTTGTTCCCCTCTATCTGCTACTCGTCCTCTTCCTACTGCAAAGGACTTATCATAGACTCACAAGAGGGCATATTTAACCCAGAAAATTGCAATGAGCTCACTACATAGAGCGTCTCTGAGCCCCTTGCTTAGCTAGCCCATCTGCCAAACGGTTTGCAGATCTTCTAACCCAATTGACTTGAATCATCATTTCTTTAAAAAGCCATTTGAAACTTCTATAATCATTCCTTAATTTCCAAGTTATCCCTTCTCCCTTTTTCAGCCAACTCAAAATTGTTCTCGAGTCCCCTTCAATAATCAGTCTTTCACTACCCGATTCTTTTACTTTCTCCACACCATAAACTGCTGCCAAAAATTCTGATCTGAGTACATCACCTTGCCCAATGAAACTAAGTACCAATGAGAGTATAATTCCTTTTTCCTCCTAATTGCTCCACCAATGCCTGATAGTCCCAGATTACCCACACAACTACCATCAAAATTTAGATACTTCCAATCA